AAATTCATTTCATTATGAGCTCCTCAGCCAGATTTCCAAAGCCAAGAAACAAAACAAAATGCTTTGTTCTCTTCCAAATGCTCAGGTAAGAACCCCGTTTTGCTCTGGCCCTAGGACAGCCTTGCAAAGCACGCTGTCCACTGCACCATTTGCTTCTTCCTTCCCCTTGCTTTCTCTTCTGAGAACTTTTAGAGCTCCAAATAGGATACTGCTTCCTTAGCCAAATACCCCACAGCTGAGCGCTCTTAATAGGGCAGACTGTTCCTACTTAAAAAAGGGATCATCCACCCTGTTCGACAGTCAGTTTTAGATTTTAGTTGGCTTGTGTCAATCTGGAATAAGTCTCTTAGATGTGGCTGTGTTTGTTCCTAACCTTCTGGGAACCAGATATTCATTCATGTAGGATTCATGTAGGATTGTAAACCACCAAACCATAAATCAAGCACTTTATGGGGCTTGGCAGAGGTCCATCATCATATGTGTAGTTCATGAAAAAACAATTCTAGGGCTGCTGCGAATCCCTTTCTTTCCCCTCTATTTGAATATCAGACTTTGAACCTAAGGACATGTTTGGTAGTAGCCAAATAAAGTATTTCACATCTTCCTTTAAAATTTGACCTGGCAAAAATGCCTGACTTTAGTATTCGTCTCAGATTCAGATTCACAAACTCCTATTTACCCTTGTCAAAAGTACATAGTTGTTTGTATTATTATTAGCAGTAGTATGTGGGTGTTTCTTTTGAATATCCTCTTCAAGGCACACACAAGTATTTGGGGCCTGATGTTCAGAAATAATTGAACTCTGGCTTTCTGAGAATGAGGCTCCTTCAACCTGCCTCAGAATTGGGTTCTCACTAGTAATTTGCTGAAAATTGGCCAAATTATACATCCAGTTTTGTGATTAAATCAATGGAGAATTTGTCTGAAGTTGAATGTCCAAGTACAGCTCTCTTTATGGTCATATGGGGTATCTGCTGTACAGTTAGAATCTTAGCTTCCTGGACAGCTTCTATGGCACTGAGATTAATGCTGCAGTAATGCACTAATAGGAGACTAAAATCTAAAACATTTCCAATCCTCATTCATGCTTGACATAAAGTTGCTCTTGAATCTATGCTGAGGGGTGAAAGCAATCAAAGTACCCACATTAGACAACTGCATAAAAGCAACCACTTGCCCTTTGGCATGTATGGAGTCTAACAGCAGCCAAATATCCTGACTTACAGGATAGCCACCATCATTAATATTTAAACAGAAATCTAATGCAGAATATGCAAGTACACACTGTACACTGATACACATGATGTCCATACTCCACCAGTGGGAGATCTCATTGTTCTGATTTACTATTAATTTTTTATAGAAATTAGACGCAGAAAAGCCTTAGTAGGTCATTTAGTCCTTTCCCACTAATGCAGTCTAGCAAAGTCTAATATGTTCTAGTATCCAGACACTCGGGATAAAGATTTTAAACTCTCAAAGTAAATAAAAATCATCCACTTCCTAAAAGAACTCAAAGTTTGTTTAATCCACATTATAAAAAAGCTCTGTCCTGCTGGATTTGGGCTATTTATGTTTTCCTTTCCTACATTGGGTTCCTGGAATCTGACCATGAAGTAACAAAAGCAGAGGGGTGTTTTAGGTAAGGTACATTACAAAAAACTTTTACTGGGGATAATCTCTTTAGATCATAACAGATCATTTCAGGTCAGTAGATTGTCAAGTGTTTACAGACTCTTTAATGACATTAATTACTTTTAAAATTTTATTAGGCAAATAAAAATGAACTAGAAAACATTGCCAATAACATTCAGCAGATATCATTGTTAATCCTCTGACATTAACTCTGCAGGAAAGTTCCATTTTGTTTTTACATCAAAAAAGTCAATGGATTTTTAACACAACTCATAATTGAATAGCATTATGAATTAGCTAATTATCAATACAGGGTGCTTTATCCTAATTATGAATTGGCACATATGAAAAAGAACTTTTTCTAGTCTTGTGTTTTCTTTTCCCTGAGAGAGATGGAAACACAAAATAAAATAGTTCCATTTATGTAAAAATATGACCTTGAAACATTTCAGGAGAAAACATTTTAATTTAGAAACATTGGGGTAAATAAAGGAAAAAGGGAAAGTGTGTGGCAGTACTGTTGGTTGAGATTCCAATAGTAGTACTACACTTTAACAGAGATTTTTTTGTAAAGAATGGTAGAAATTTTAGCTAGCTAACAGCAGGAAGCCAGGGAGAGAATGGCAGTTTTATTTTAAAGTTGTTTAAAAAATATGGCCAGCTCAATAAACCCATTCTATCAACAGAATAGCACCACCAGTTAAATACAATTTATTTAAATTGTTTTACCCTGCTAACCAATGTCTTTCCTGGATTGAACAGTTTTTGTTTAGTTTTTCTAGTTGTTCTGCTGATGTTTTTGGTTTTGTGGAAGGGGGAGATAATCCTGTAATTATATGAGTGCACAACTTTGTGGCTGTTGATAATAAACACTTAACAGCAAAAAGATATATTTGAATAAATCTGTCCAGAATTAATGAATGCTATCCAGGCATTATGGACTAGGACTAAATCATCTTCAGGCGTAAATTGGCATAGCTGAACTATTTCAACTGAGCTGTGGCAGTTCTTCCTATCTGAAAATCTTTGGGTGAAGTCTTGGTTCTCTTGAAGTCAATATGAGTCTTGACATAGAGTTCACTGGGGATAACTTTCATCCCTGGATGAACTTTCATCCACTTTCATTAGTTTTCTTTTTATTTGATAAGAGTTTATTCAAACAGAGAAATACATAGAAAGAAAACACAGACAGGTCGCAGCAATGTTAAACAGGAGGTGCTGAATTATCAGGAAAGTGCCATCAGGACTGCTTGATGGATCTTTTCTTCTTCTTTGCTGTTGTATTTAAATGTTTCAGTGCACAGTTTGTTTTGTTTCCTTTAATTATACACATAAAATTATGCATTTAAAAATATATCTACTTTCTCTTTCTCCATATCTCCTCCGGTTTTGCCTCCTGACCACCGTTTTCAACTTCCCCATACTTTTCCTTCTATTTGGCCTCTCTTGCTGTCTCCATTCCTTTTCCCTGCCCTCTTGCTCAAATCCTACCTGCATCTCCTACTGTTTGGCCTCCCGCAGCCCTCTGGCTATCTAGTATCTTACACTGTTTGCTTTTTTTCATTCCCACTCTGTCATCTAACAGCTGGTGTTTGCATTATCTTCCTAACCACATTGTCTTCCTCTGTCTGCCTCTCTTAATAGTCATCTGAATATGCATTCTTCCTTTAGTCCTCTGAAACCCACTCAAGGTATATGATATAGACACTGAGTATACTAGCCATTGTAATAGGCACTTAGACACTTTCCTGAGGTTACTGTTTTTTACTTAATAATCTTTCTACCTAACATTCTGAGCTTTGTTTTTCCAATAGCCGCTATAGTATTTAAATAACTACTGTTGTAAATGTGCTGTCTTTTTTGATATCTTTTATATCATCTCCATGACCACAAGAGATGATGCAAAACATCTCTGGTGCATGGCTCTTTAACATGATACTTGTAATTACTATTGTAAGCTATTGAATCAATACAAGAGTATGAAGAATGAATATATAGTCTGAAATGAGTTACTGATAATTAATATATGGTGCTCAACTTTTTTTTTTTATTTGGTTGCCCTACTGCTAATATGCATAGCATGCGGAGTT